GATTTTACTGCCCAATTATCGTTACTTTCTGTGTGTGTGTGTGTGTGTGTGTGTGTGTGTGTGTGTGTGTGTGTGTGTGTGTGTGTGTGTGTGTGTGTGTGTGTGTTCATCTGAGCAGCCCTCAACACCACTTTATTTAGCTTGTTAGTGCTACTTCTGAAGGTTATGAGAGCCAAGAGCCTTCGAGTCATTGTGCTTTATGCCGGCATTTAATGCAGAGCTCTGGACACAGTTCTGCAAATCGTTTTTCTGTTTGATTGTTCATTTGTTTTCTTTTGTTTTTGTTTTTGTTTTGTTTTTTTAATTACTCCAGTTTGCTCTGGGACCACACGTTCATTTGACTGATGTGATTAGCATTGGTTTTCCCCAAGGCCGCTGATGAATGCATGACTCTGTGTTTTTTGAAACCAGGGGCTCTGGCCCTCATCCCAGAGGTGGAAAAAAATGCAGTTAGGTCCATCAGTTTGCTTGTTTTTTTCCTTTTTTATTTATTTTTTATTTTTTTCAAATATATAATTTTCTACACCACTATACTGGATTCTGAGGTGACTGTAGCTCAGGAGGTAGAGCAGGTCATCTACTAATCAGAAGGTTGATGGTTTCATCCCTGGCTGTTCCAGTGTGCATGCCAAATATCCCTGGGCAAGATACTAACCACAAGATGTTCTCTGATGCATCCATAGGAGTATGAATGTTTGCAACTGTTAGATAGAAAGCACTTCAGCAGAAGCTGTTGTGGATGGGGTAAGTTACATAAAGCGTTTTGAGTGCTCAGGCAAAGTAGAAAAGTGCTACATAAGAATCAGTCCACTTACCATTCCAAATTAGTCAACAAGTGACACAACATGCAGAAGATACTAGAATTGAATGACAAGCAGTTTTATGTGTGTGACATGAGGACACACGTACACAAGAGAGGACAATATTTGTTAGGAAGAAAGTCCCAAATAAACCTTTCACAGAGGGGGGCCAAATCAACAATTTGATATTTTTTTAAAAGAATTGATAACAGGAAGGCCAGATTAGACTTTGTCGAGAATATCTAAAACAACCTACAAGATCAGACAAGATTAAAAATAGCAGAATGAATTATGTGAGGAGAAAAAACTAAAAGGAAAGAAAGCTCATGTCAAACAGGCTGCCATTAGTGTTTGTTGATAAAGTGACTCCTCATACAAATAGAAGGATGAATTGTGAAGTGTACGGTGTTATACTGTCCTCAGATTCAGCCAAATGCTGCAACACTAACAACGCAGCACTTTGCAGTACAAATGGATAATGACCCAGAGCATACTGTAAAAGCAACCCAAGGGTTTCTCAATGCAATGGCCAAGTCAGTCACCTGATCTCAACCCCTTAAAGCATGTTTCTCAGTTAGTAAATACAAAACCAAGTGCAAAGACCCACAAACAAGTCTCAGCTGATGGTAAAGCCCTAGCAGAGCATCTCAAGGGACAAAACACAGTATCTTGTTATGTCCCTGGATTCTAAACATCAGGCACTCATTTAAAAATGTCTGAAAGATGTTAGTGTGTCCAGTTACTTTCAAGCCTCTGAAAATGTTGGACTATGTGTACCAATTACTATAAACCCTAAACACTAAAAACAAAACTTTAGTTAGACCCCTTGAATTAAATATGAACGTCTGCATTTCAATCGCACCTTGAATGTTTGATTTAAAATTCTCCATAGTTCTGGACAAAGGCAAAACAGTCAGGTCCATAAGTTTGGGGGCAATGACAAGTTTGTTGATGCACAAAAAAAGATTATTGTAATATTTAATAAAGGCCTTATTTTATTGTATGAACATGTTAAAAAATAAGCATTTTAGAATGTAATGTTATATGTAGCTCAGAACTCTTTTCGCTTGCCAAACATCTGGAGGATTGGGCATTGAGATGAGACAACAAAGCCAGTGGTGCTAAATAACTGGGTTAGATGCCTACCTTTTGAAATACAAAATCTTATGAATATAAAACAGTGTCCAATGCTTTATTGCAGTTCTTTAAAGTAGGAGAACGGTCTGCTATGTAATTACAAATGTTTTGGGAATGAGGATGGAATAGGAATTTAGAACATGGCTGCTGCTAAAAACTGCAACAGACAAGCTGATTTGCACTGTTTTCTTTTTCTGCTGGGATAAAAAGGATGCCAGTCAGAAGTCTGCATAGAATATAATGTAATTATCGGCAAAATGAACACGTATTCACAAAATACTAAACCGAGAGATTGCAGCATTACGAGTGTTACCTGGGAGATAAGTCGGGTCACAACTCTTATTTTTTAGAACTGTAACCTTTTTTGACAACACCGAAACATATTCTCCTTTTTTTTTTTTTACGTGACGATATCTGGCACAACACTGCTGTCAGCTTTAAAATGTTTTATTTGCATCTATATTCACGATGCTGTCCTCTGTACCTTGCTTATGTGACAAGACTTAAATTTAATATAAAACTGTTGATACATTCAGTTGCACATATAGACCAGCACAGTTTTAATTGAATTAGTCAATATGTGATTGAACTGCAGACTTTCAGCTTTAACTCAAAAAAGTTTCATAAAAGAAGTGCAATCATTTTTTAGGACTTGCAGCCATTTTTATACATAGTCCTTTTCAGACGTTCAGAAGTAATCTGAATTGAATGACAAGACGTTTTATGGCCAAATGAGGTCTCTTCCCTTATTATTTCATGGCAAAATTATGCATATAAAACATGTTGAGTTGATTCCAAGCGTTGAACTTGTAATTTGCAGTTTCAGCTTTTCTCTGACATCTCAAGATGAGATGCCCAGAGATGTCAATGCAAATAAAGGAGGCCATCATTAAACTGGAAACCCCAAATAGAGCTATGAGGGAGATAGGAAAAACTTTAAGAGTGGCAAAATCAACAATCTGGTGCATAGAAAGACCACAGAAGACAAGTAAAGTGCATGACTGCAGGACTATTTCTCCTTGACTGAAATAAAATCCTTTGAAATATCCATCCATTAACCAACAAACTGATTTTTTATTTAAAACACTCTGTTTACGTGTACGGTGGCAAAATTTAAAGAAAAATGTGCCATTTTCCAAAAAACCTATGAACCAAACACTGTTTCCACATTAAGAAACTGAACGGGATGGTAACTATGAGCAGTATAGGATCCCATAGTCTTTACATGTACTCATAATGCTATGATATAATTCCTGATCAAATGCAGTGAGGTAGTTGAGTGACTTGGTTTTATCTTATGTCAAATCAAATCTGAGGCCTTTTTATTTCCAGAATTGTTCTTGGTTTCTTAAAAATGCCCCCCTGCTACCATTTCAGGGGTTGTGTGACAAAAGCTTTGCCATCTAAGTAGTCAGGTACTGAAAACTTAAGCACATCCAGAGTATCAGTATGACATTTGTCATCAATTATATACTCTCAGATTAAAAAATATGGATGTTTTTGTTGCCTCGTAAAATCTTATGAGAGCCAGTATAACAGTCATGATGACATCTTCTTTACTACCACTCTGCCAGCAGCTACTGAGCAGCAAAGATGGAAAAATGGAAGGAAAGCAGTAGCAAAAGCTATGAGGGAATGCAAGAAGTTGAAAAGATGGGCTGGATAAAAGCAGAGAGGAGGTGGAATAGCAAATTGTACCATGATAAGAAATGGCAAGCATTGATGAATCACTGCTCTCACAACTGCCTTGGCTCAGATGGTTGTGAAATGTTTAAAATCTGGTTAAATCGTTTGAAATATAAGAGCCCACTGAAGGCTGCAGCATGCTGTAATAGATTTGAACACGCCAGAATCGGAACACAGACTAGCCTGTCAATCATGTGTTAGCTGCGAAGCTTTCACTGCTTCCAGGGAGAAGTGGAAAACCTTTGCTTAACCTCAATTACAGGAAATGATCTCTAATGGGTTTCGCTCCACAAACTTCAACTGAGAATGCAAACCTGACTCTGCAGCTGTGCTTGCATTTAAAGAAGAAGATCCAGGCTACCTACAGGGCACAGAAATGTGGAATCCATGCAAGGAATTTATATATAATGGTTATTTATCGTGGAAATCTTCCAGGCTGCTGGTCAACGAGCAAATCTGCTGGCAGAAGTCAGGTGTAAGAGCACTGCCATACAGACAATCGGATCTCACCACCCACTATAAAGTGACTGTCACGCTCACACCAGTCAAAAGAGTCCACAGCTAGGAAGGCCCACCCATCCCCAGAGCTAGATATTCCCCTCACGCCAGCTGACAACCCATGTGCGCCTTCTAGCGGCGTTCCAAGTTTGCGTGTGCGTGCACGCCTGCAAACGGTGACCTTTCGTTCACTAAAGCACCACTGTGACTTACGGTAGAAAACGTATTCTGTGTAGCTGGACCAGATCTTGTCCTCTGTGTGCTGGTTGACGAACGAAGCTGTGACTGACGAGTTGCAGGCCACCATTTGGAAACCACACTCCGACAGCATGTCAAAAGCTCTCTCCAGGTGCTTGAACTTGAGATAAAACCGGGAGGTGTACCGATCCGGGGTCCTGTCCGGGTCCCTGCTCTCGTTCAGCGTCTCCCCAAACACTTCTTTGGCAAGGGCTACCCTGCCGCATATTAGTATCCGAGGTACCCTCCTGAACTTGGCGTCACTCTGACTCTCACGGCCCATGGTGCACGACCCTCGATACCCCACAGTGATGAACCCGCTCTTTCTGTCCGCGGGAACGAGAGAGGGTGGCGGGCACTGCCGGTGGTCGCTACCCTGGGACCCATCTTCATAGTCGCTGTGGAAGTAGTCGTCCGGGCTTTGCTTGATATCCTCAGGGGTCAGCAGCTTCACCAGGTCGGGCAGCTGGAAGTATTCAGCCTCTTTTCTGAGCCTCCCTTTTTCCGGGAAGTGGTCCGGGAGGACAACTTGCTTATCCCGGAGGTAGTCCAACACGTACCGGAATAAAAAGCCATCTCTGTCAATGAAATATCGACCCTTGGGGTCTCTTGCTAAGTCGTTAGATGCGTCTTTTTTAGAAGAAAATAGCTTACCGAGCAGCGAATTCGGGGTGCTCACCAAAGTTGAGTGACGCGTGTAATAAACCTGTCCCCCGACGTTTAATTCAACAACATCTGGGAAACTGTTCTGAACTGATGCCTGCTCTTTGGGATTAGTCCTGCAGTTTAGACTCAGCGCCATCGTTTCCGTCATGAACAGCTCCAAGCAGGCTACACACCTCTTTCAACCACAAGTCTCAAAAAAGAAAGAAAGAAAGAAAGAAAGAAAAAAGCGATGGGTCCGTGTCAAAAGTTGCCCGAGCTGAGCCCCCTGTTATTTTGACGCAGGACCTCCAACTTCATCTCACAGCGATCCGAATGAGCATTTTTCATGGCTGCATTGCCATTATCACCTACCAGTCTTTAACAGTTGTCGAAAATGGAGAGGAAGATGTCACTTCGTAGTCTCGACGGCAAAACTGAAAAGAGCAACTTGAATGGAGTAAAGAATCGTCGTTGTAAGAGAGGATGAGTGTATTCTGGCGCATCAAAAAGCTGACTGCATTAGTGGTTGTGGGACTCCCTTCGCCTCTGGGAAAAGAGCATTAGCCTACATGGAAAACCAGTGAGTGCTGGAAGAAGGCTATTTGACCGGATGGAGGGGGGGAAGCACTTGCCTTGCTTGCCTTTTTAGTTTTTGAAAGTAACATCCAATAGGAATATGTCCTTTTCCACAAACGCACGTAACCAGAAAAAAAGTCGAACAACTTATTTTAGAATCTAGCCAGAAATGAAAAAGATGCAAATGCGACGCTGTCACTTTTCTCTTTTTGTTTTGTTGGGTTTTTTTTCTTTAACTTCCTTTCAAGAGCAGACGATTTTGAAGGTTGTAGAGACTGACAGGAGGAGGAAAAAAGCCTTTCAGTGACGAGAAACCTCGCAGAGATTGCAAACACAGTCCTCTAATCATTTTGTCTGTAGCTTGTCACAACATCCAGACATGTCGCCTGGTGCGCGCTGATTTAAAGTACCCTCCTATTCATTAAAAAAAACACACACACACAATAAAACCCATATACGACTCTTTTTCTTTTCTTTTTTATGTCCTGAAGAGGTGTTAAAACCTCCGTTTGGATTTCTTTTTCTTTCTTTAAAGCAGTAGAAAGGACCGAACCACTGTTGGCTGCATTACCGGGAACTGTCCGCGGTACTGAAACGAGCATCTCTCTCTCTCTCTCTCTCTCTCTCTCTCTCTATCTCTCTGTTTCTCTTTCTCTCTCTCTCTCCCTCAGCCCCTTCCCCCCTCCCTCAGCACACACACCCTAACATACACTCTCCTCACTCTCCTTCGCATACACTTGTACCGCCTCCCTTCCCCTACAGAGTTGGGTGGTGTCTTCAGTGTTGCCCCTTCTCTCCTACATGTACCCGCATGCAACGCAGGCATCTGTGTAAGTAAACCCCGCATGTGAGCAAAAATCATTTGTCCCTATTTGAATATACAGCACACTAAAGTTTGCTATATTAGCCTGTGCCATTTGTAATACTAGCACCGCTGTATGCAAATGTGGGGAAACTGGTGCTGTCGTAGGTTAAGGAGCTGCAATGAAAAATTTTTTTTTTTTTAAGATTTCTCAGCCGCTTACAGTGCATAGAGGAAGAAATGTTCCATCCATCGCTGTGCCATTATTATAACGAGAGCACAATGCTGTAATTTGACCCGCAGCTTGAATCCATTTGCATGGCATTTAGTTTAAATACATCATTACAGGACACGTTTATTTTTACCACAGTGCGTTACTGTCGTGCAACATATTTGCAGTTTCCACTTTAGAACTGTTTTACAAATTGAAATCCAAAGTCCAAATACCTACATTCAAAATTCAGATAAACGCTTGCGAAAAAAGAAAAAAAAAACACACATTTGAATTGAAGAATTGTGTGAGCATTCAGCATTTGCTTTGTAAAATGAACAACAGCGCCTCCCTATGTTTTCCCTCCCAAGTTCCTTTTTCAGTGCCATGGACATATCCTCGCACAGAGAGGTGATGGAATTAGTGGGTGAAAGGTTTTTGGTTTACAGTTAGTGTAAATGAATGCATTTATGCATGCTGCGCTAGTTTTTCATTTGCATTTGCAAAGTTTCCGGACAGACATTCCAAGGCTTGGATTGTCACTTTTCTGTTTCTGGGGAAGTTTTACAAAGAGGGATCTTTTTTCTCTTTTTTTTTCCAATCAAATTTTTATGTCATGGGGACAAAAGTAGTCGGCACTATACATGACCATTATACAGAATTCAGTTACTGCATGGTGAAAGTGCTGCAGAACCAAAGAGGGACTTGTATATAAGAAGTCTGGGTGAGAATGATGTAGTCTGCTGGATCTCAGAAAGTCCAAATCATTTTTGTATTTTATGATTGGTTGATTGATTTACGACCTAATGCCTTCAGCAGCCTTTTATTTTCCTTTGGAGCTCATCTGTCCACTTTTAACCAACCCTGCTGTAAGAAAAACTGCATTTTCAGGCATATTCCTTAACTGTTGTGTCCGCCTTACCACTGAGAAAATGATGCCATTACTTTTCTATTTCAGTGCTAATTCTAATTTTCATCCATTTTAACTGTAGCTTAAAGCAACATAGCCACAGAGGCAATCAAATGCAGCAGATAAATTAAAAAAGTAAAGTCACTAAAACATTTATACTGGAATTGATTCTCTTTCATTTGGTATTAATGCACAATCTCATCCTGCATTCAGTGCTTTTAGTGCTATTAATGCCTTTCTATGGGATGCGGTGTCATGTGGGTTTTTTAAAAGCACTTTTAAACTTTTAATTTTGCTTTAACACAACACCCACACCTCACAGGTTTTGCACAAAAATTACTGGAAATGAAATTCTTAGAGAGAAAAAAGTGACCATTTGGGTTTTTTATTTTTATTTTTTGGTTTTATCGCTTGAGAATTAAGTCACCAGGTTTACTATCAATTTAGCTGTAAAGTTGCACAAAAATTCCTATAAAGTACACTCATGCAAACAGACACACATACACACACGTAGAAAGAGAGGAGGTGTGCCCAGCTGGGACATCAGCAGTCACCCAGAAGTAGGCCATGTCGGCTGCGTCTTCATAAATACATGTGGGCACTACAACACTCCCCACTGTGGTGCTATTTAAAGAGCAGACGATTGACCACCTGTAAGGAGTTGAACCTGCTTGTGCTGACAAAATTAATTTCACCTTAGCTTTCTTTGTCCCCAAAGAGCACTGGATTCACTGGTGTAGTCTTCCGAAACACACAGCAAGACCATCACCAGACACATTCATCTATGGTTTGTGCACCGTGCCTGCATTTCAGGTCACAATGTACAGTATCAACATAGGTTTGAATTATTTCAAATAATTTATTTCATTTAAGTCCAGAAAATCAGTTTTTGGAAATTATCTTTTGCAGGATTCTGATTTATTCTGTTAGGGTTATAATGTCAAACTTACTGGGTTTTCATAAAACATGCTTGTGCAGTAGTTGCAATTTCCAAATTATGTCCTTGCTCTCCATGTTTTTAAAATCATTTTAGTTTCACATTAACAAATTAAAAATATACACAAACATTCACTCTGCGAGCACAGCGGCAACATTAATAATTTATGGTTTTTCAGAGAGAGACATTATATCACAGAGATTTTTAATTTTTCACTTGAAAAAGAAAGCGACTTGGTGAGCACTCCTCTTCCTTGATACAGATCAACTGGCAGCACAGTTATTTTCTTCCTGTGCAGTGCAGAGAAAACTATTAAAGGGAAATTTTCAGGCCAGTCACAGATGGTTGAAATAAACAGCATACTACTCCCACTTCCATCTCTCATTACAGCCACACCGAATGATGCCAGGCCTTAGATGGGAAATCTGCAAGTACAGCAGGCAGACATTCAATGCATAAATTCAGCCGACTCAGAGAGGATGAGTATTTACCAAGAGTTTCTATGAAAACCTTAGTTATCTCTCAACGCGTACTTTAAATTTTTTTTTAATTTATGTATAGACAGGTATTTATTATTTGCAAAATTTCCCTAGGAAAAAACTCAAGCATGTTAGCACGGAATTCTGCAAGAGAGCAGTCATTTCAGTCAGATACACGAGGAAAGTGATTATTGGTGTTCTTTAAAACATTTTAGTGTTAGCATCATTTTTGAATTAATCGTTGCTACCAATAGGGAGCCATCAAGTTTATTGAATCACTGTGAAATTAAAGGGCCTGAGAGCAATGTGTGCAGTTTTGCTTGTATGACTAATGATGTGGGCAAATAAATCTGTGCAGTCACATTGCAATAGCCTGACTTCACTTTAATGACAAGTAAAATCAGGTTCTATGGCATATGTAATTTTTAGGGTTAACATTCAGTTTAAGGTTAGATTAAGAGTTAATCAGATTGTGGATAGGGTTAGAGTTAGGTTAAGTGGATTATACTATATGGAAGCTAATGTCCTCTGAGGTGAGACGTGGCTGTGTCTGTGTGTGCATGAATGATTTTCTTAAAAACTAAACCGATTAGTCATAAAAGTCTGACCACACACAGGTGAAGTGAATAGCAATGATTACCTCTTCATCATGGCAGCTGGTAGTTGGTGGGATGCATGAGGGAGCAAGTAAACCTTTTGTCCCCACGGGGCAAGCATAAGGATTTTGGCGAGTTTGACAAGGGCCAAATTGTATTGGCTGGACAATTGTCTCAGACCATGTACACCCGTATTCCCTGATGCTCGTGACATCTTTCAGCAGGATTTGTGCACTGCCACAAAGATAACATGCTTCAGGAATTGTTTGATGAGCACAACAATGAGTTTTAGCTAATATCGTGACCTCCAAATTCCCCAGATCTCAATTTACTTAAGCATCCATGGGACATGCTGGACAAACAACTCGAATCCATGGCATCCTGTAAGTTGCCCACCTCGTAACTTACAGGATGCCACAGCAGACCTCCAGGGGTCTAGTGAAGTCCATTCCTCATCAGGTCAGGGCTGTTTTGGCAGGAAAAGGAGGACCAACACAATATTAGGCAGGTGGTCATATTGATCCGTGTATGTATGTAAATGTGTGGGAAATGTGAAAAAATACAGCTGGTGGCTTCTATTTTGCATATGACCAGAAGGTGGAATGGCAGAAATTAAGAGCCTGCTAATTGCAAAAACCTTTTATTTTGATGTTGACAATCACCCTGTGGCGAAACACTGCATTAAACAGACTAAAACACTTTTGTCCCTATTAATAGTTCAGATTTTTAAAAAGTTGTTATACAGCTTATCAATACTAAATCATCTAAAGTGGAAAACTCTTTTTTTCCTTTTGTTTGTTTAATTTAAAACCATGGTCCACAATTGTAACAGTCTGAAAAAGGGAAGGCTCTATTTTAGTTAATTGAATTATAAAGATCTTTGTTTCATTATTGTTTTTATTTATTCATACACAAAACCAAAAAACAATAACTTCCTGATACTCCGACTCAATTAGATGATCCATGCAGGCTGACTGAACTCTGTCCCGAAAGTGTTTACTCTCCAACACCTGCTGCTAGGACAGCAATGAGTCATCATTCTCAAATGTGCCTTTAAACATTGCTGAGCAATTTTTTGGCTTG